TTATACGGCGGCGCCATATTATGAGAAATGAGAATTATATACTCATTTAGGTATTTTGGTGCTACCAGTAAAAAATATAATTTTCTACTCATTGAAAATCAAAATAAAAAAGAAAACATTTATTTTTCTTTTACTGTCAAGGATATGCTAATATAATAATGTAGAAAAACACGACAGGCATAACATTATCTTCCTATGGATTATTATTTCTGTATTCAAAATTTTTGAGTGTAATTTATCTTTAGCAAAATCTTACTAATTATGAAACAAGACATTTATCTGACAAATGGCAATAATAAAATTCAGCCCCCGTAGGTATTTCATTCCGTCCATACAGAGTTGACCGGGCCTGGTAGTTAGCCACGGCGTGACGTCGCGTCACTGTGTATTGTTTATGTTTCCGCGTGTGTTTCGTAAATATAAACCAATACCCTAATGTCAATTATCTAACAATGACAAGTTTTTGTGTCTTGTCTGGTGAAAACATAGACGGTGCGACGAATCGATATTTACCCGTGTTGGAACGTATAGTCTGTAAATGATACGTTCCGTCATCGACAGACCAGACATACAGACCAAGAACCTCTAGACTTGTATTTGTGGACCGAACTAAAACGATTACGAGGGCGGCACTGAAAATTTCGGGAATCAAGGAAGTGACACAACATCACTATTTAAAAATGTTTTATCGCTTTTCGAAGTATTCTCCGCGAAATTTGACACATTTTTCAATACGATGGAACCAATCATTGAAGCAACCATTCCATTCGGAAGTTGGGGTCTCCAAAATGGCCGTTTTGTAGGCGTCCACAGCTTCTTCAGGTGATGAAAATCTCTGTCCACGCAATTTATTCTTTATTTTAGGGAAAGTATAGAAATCATTAGGGCTTAGGTCGGGGCTCTACGGCGTATGGTCTAATAATTCTATGTTTTCTTGCTCTAAAAACTCTTTTGTTCTGTGTGCGGTGTGAGAACTCGCATTGTCGTGATGGAGGATGATGCGGCGGTTGCAGTTCTCTTTACGGAGTTCAGAAACGACCTGTGGCAAACAAGTGCTAGCATACCATTCTGCATTAACCGTTCTTTGTCCCTCAAGAAGAATAGTCGTAACATGGCCGGTTTTGGAGACAAACGTGGCCACCATTTTTTTTTGCAACACTCCGTGAACGAACAATTTTTGTTGGCTTTAACTCATTTTCGAACACCCAAACTCGTGACTGGTTTTTTGTTTCGGGTTCATACGCGTATATCCAGGATTCGTCACTTGATACGATGTTGTATACAGCATTTGAGAATCCTGCGTGGAATCTTTCGAGAGTTCTGACGCACCAAGTAACGCGAGCCGCTTTTTGCTCTTCACAGAGCGAATGCGGTATCCATCGGAAAAACAACTTTTTTACACCTAATTGTTCATGCAAGATTATTTGTATTTAACTCATGCCAATGTCTAAAGTTGCTTGAATTTCGCGGTATGTCACATGTCGATCTTCCTCAATCAGCTTACGCACAGCATCAACGTTTTCTTGGGTGACTGCAGTTTTTGGACGACCTTGACGGGGATCATCACTGAGCTTGACACGTCCACGTTGAAATTCAGCAAACCAGCGATAAATTGTGGTTTTGGATGGGGCTTCATCACCAAATGCAGAAATCATCCGGTCAACACACTGTTTTTGTGTTAAACCACTTCGAAAGTCATAATAAACCATCGCTCTTGAATTTTCTCGAATCAATTCCATTTTCTCAACGACTAAACAAGTTTGACAAAACCTTGTGACAAGACCGAGAATCTTTTTTTAAATGAATAAATGGTATTCGATTTTTAAAACCAAGGAGTTTTCAATTAAAAAGATTTTAATATGACAGGAACAGTGGAAATATTCCATTCCCGATACTTTTAGTGCAGCCTAGGTAGTAGACATAGAAGAAACACAAATTGTAAGTGAAAGTTTAAGGCGTACATTACATGCTCATGCAGGCGCCAACCAATTCCATCAATCATGATTGATAAAAAACGGATGGTGATTGATAAGCGTACATTATGCGCTCATGCAGGCGTCAATCACTGCATTACACGGTAGTTTATTCGTCAATCACAACCGTGATTGTTGTAAAACTGACAGCCTGAATGAGCGTGTAATGTACGCCTTATAAATAATTTTAAAAAACGTTTTAATTTGTGTTAGAAAGAATCGGTGGACATTTTGAACAATTACTGTGATATCGCTAAAAAGGTAATTGTTATTTGTAAATATCAATAATGTAGTATAATTTTGTAAATATAAGAATCAGTGTAGTTTGTAAATAAGTTGATTTCGTCTTTCTAATATCGATCTTTTAAATACGCCAAGATGTTGCAGTATAAGGTAGGCATAAAAATATTATTAGAAACTATTTAGGTATCAATTCATTATAATGTAAGATAAAATTTGACACGTAATTCTACTCAAATACAGCATATTAGACGGTCCCAATCCCGTAAAAGTATGAAGGGAAGATCGAAATCACAAAAATAATAATGTGAAACTAAAGGTAATTGACCTACTTACCATTTTCTTTTTCACATTTTTTGCTATTTACAAACATGCGACACGCAATGGTGTTATTAATAAAAGAGTGGCAATGAGAAGTGTTGGTATTTTAAATCTTTCTTTTACCGACCAAGTATTTTACTATTTACCAATATATGCTGATATTGCATTAGTAGCCAGTAACTAGTACTGGAAGGTCTACTTGCACTGGACGTTTTAAGGTCATTGACATTATAGGCGAAAAAACCACCACCAACCAACGGCTTTACGTGTTTTCCGACACATAGGGGTGAGACATTGCCAACTTCCTGACTCCAGACAGCTACTGAGAATTTCTTGACTGAAAAACTTAATAAATTGATTTTATGTCCCGCGTAAATTTAAAACGATGAATCTTAACCGTAAACATTTGCGCGCTATGGTCTATTGTGATTTTAAATTTGATTTAACCGAACAATTAAGTTTAAAACGGTTACAGTCAGCATTAGGGGACTCAGCGGTATCACGCGCAACAATTTTTAGGTGGTTTGCTGAATTCAAAAGGGGTGCCATAAAGCTGACCAAAGAACCGGGGCGCCGCAAAGAAAATGTATAGACTACGGAAATATTGGTGCGAGAAGACCCACGAATCACAAATACGGACATCAAACAGATTGTAGGCATTAGTTCGGGGAGCATTAATACCATCCTACATAAACATCTTGGAGTGAGGAAGCTTTGTTTTCGATGGATCCCTTGTTTGCTCCCCGAAAGTGAAAAACAGACTTATATGGATTGGTGCCATGAAATGCGTCTACGTTTTGGAAACGATGCATCTAGGCGTGTTTCAAAAATCGTTACTGGTGAAGAGATATGGTTCTATCAGTATGATCCGGAAAATAGAAGGCAATCGTTGGTGTAAGTACTCAGAAGGACAGTTACCGACAAAACTGCAAAGACCTCGCAACGTCAGCAAAAAAAAAATGGTGGCTAGTTTATTTCGCGGAAGTCAGTTAACTCTGAATGGTATACTACACTTGCATTACCGAAAGCTTTTCAAGCTGTGCGGGAGAGAAGACCAAAGACCGAGCTTCGGGGAATCATGCTGCATCACGATAACGCCTCTTCAACAAAAGCATTTATTGAGGAATCTGGTGTTGAAACTCTAAGTCATCCACCCTACAGCCCTGACTTAGCTCCTTGTGGTTTCGTATTGTTCCCAAGAGTCAAAGAAAAAATAAAAGGCAAGTTTTTTTCAAGCGCCGAAGAAACCGTGGCTGCCTACGAAGAAGCGATTTCCGACCTGTTAGATCAAGACTGGCAAAAGTGTTTTCAAAGTTGGTTTAGCCGAATGGAACTTTGTATAGAGCATGATGGAGAATATTTTGAAAAGACGTAAAATAAATATTAATAGTATCTAGAATACTTTTCGTATATCTCAAAACTTATTGAGTGTCCCACGTACATGCGGCGGTAACACATTTATGCGCGAGTGACAGAGACATGTAATCACGGGTCAATTAATAAGATGCTAAGTCATAAAAAGGTATTGCATGTATACAAACCACAATTTCTCCGTATGGCCGTAAGGCTTAAGACTTGCTTTTTTAGATTAGAATAGTGAGGAAGTTGGAGAGTACCTCCATGATTGTATGGATACCTATAATATTTGTCTACGATAATAGATCGACAATTTCTGATGGTCATCCAGAATAGGTCAAAAACTACAAAATTTTCAAGCAGCTACATATTAATTGTATAAAGTTGTTATTAATACAATGATATTATAAGATAGATGTTTGATTATATGAACATAGTTTTACTTATTAATCAATTTGTGTAGGCCATATTCTTAAAAAGTCATAATTTTAAAAATAAAAACAAATTTTTCTACAAAATATGATATTAAAATACTTTTTTTAACAATTAATACTTTAGTATATTTATTAATTATAGTTAATAACAAATTCTATGAACTAAATTGTATTTCCTATCGCTACAAATAAATTATCATGAGGTACCTGTTATTGATATTTTTGTTAAAAATTGTAAAATACGTGGGCAGATGAAAAATGAATAATTTTACATTATATTATATTCATAAAAATATTGGTTTTATTATCATACCGATGACAATACTCAAGCATTTTTTCATTGTCGATTTGTTTTCTTTAGATAATCAAGTAGATTCTGATTAAGAATGAAAGCTACGTTATTTACTTGCTGCACAATAACAATTTATTGCAGAACCAAAAAAAAAACAACGATTAAAATAACCAAAACATATTTTCTAAAGAACAGAAATAATCAATGAATATTTGCGGAAAAAAGTGACACAGTTTAATTAAGAATTTGCTGACCGTACTAATGTAAAAGATGAATGCAAGTGTAATATCAATGCTACCCTCAGCACAATCCCAATACAGGTGCAAACGTTATTATAACTGACTTGTAAAATGAACAATTAATATTGTTATACTGTTGGTAAAGCAGGAAACAACGGATAGTATATCAACGACAGAGGAGCTGAACAAATGGCGGACGGTCGTCATCGAGGGGCAGCCGTGGCGGGAGGGCGACACGGTGTCGAGCGCGGCGGGCAGCGGCGCGCGCTACGTGGCGGGCGTGGCTGGCGGGCCGGGTGGCGCGCTGCAGGCCGACGTGCTGCTGGACGACGTGCTCACCGACAGAGGTGACTCGCTGCACACGCGCGCACCGCCTGCGGGCACCACACGTACTCACACCACGTGCTACACAATTCATCCCATCTTCACCCATCTGTCCATACATAGCAGCCTATTAAAAGTCCGCCGATAAAGATAGACCTTTCCCATAGATATTTAAGAGCCTAGTAGGTCTTGCTGGTTCCGCAGAGCGAACAGCGCTATGGTAAAATAATAGTAGTGATGTACCACGTAATTTTAAGGACTAAAAGTTTTAAAATTTAACATACACGTTTTAGCCATCCTGCCCTTACAAACCATAAAACCCAATGCTGAACATAGGCTTTCCCCAAATATCGACTCAAAGGGTGATTTTTTTAATTTGCCTTAGGTTAACCTGACAAGCGGTTTAAAAAAATGTTTAAAGTTATTTTCAGAAAAATGCTGCTGTTTTATTTATCTCCGTTGTCCCTCACGACACCCATGGGTTAAAGTTAATATATATTAAAAAGTTAATATATTGCGGCTACCCTACACTCCTGTCTTAAATTCTCTCACACCGCCACTACTCTGCAAACTAAATTCACTATATATTTTTTCACACAATCATATAATTTGAAATTTGTGCCTTTGAACAGCGTCGAAGGTGTAACACGTCTGACATTGCTATCGTCAATCCACTTCCTATCAAAAAAAGCCCATGTTCAACAACGACTTTTGTGAACTGATAAGAAATAAGACGAAGTAATGTCTTAAAACTTGGTCAATTTTCCAGTTTTAGTTAAATTATACTATGTATTGATTTTGTTACATGTTGCATACATGAAGAATAATAGCAATTAGAAAACAATCGATAAACATACCAGTTCACACTCTGACAGTTTACAATGGTAGTCCAGTATGAGTTTATTACTCTACAAAAAATAATACAGCAATGATTTTATTCATAGTAGTGTAATGAAATTTGTATAGGTGTGTACCACTCTCACAAGCATATCTGCCGACAAGCAGTATTACGCCCACCGCTGTGTTACGGTTTAAAGATTAAGAGAGCCAGTGTATTTGTTACTCTTACTTCTATAGAAAAGGTATTCTATAGAAAAGATAGGGTGCAGCAAACGCTTATCACCCCAAAATGGGAGTAAAGATTGGAGGATTGTCACAGTGTTAACAAATTCAAGACGGCGTTACACTGCCTAGACCGTTATTATAGCCAACCAAAGGTCAACTGTTGAACATTTGCCTTATCCATAGATGCCTCATAGAGGGGATATTTGCCATAGTTGCCATGCTTGGCAGGCGAGTTGGCAACTGCAGCATTTATTTCTAGTTGTTATTAGGAAGACTCTGCTGCCCATCTCCTGGTTTGTTTCTCTCTGTCGCCTATTACGTCACCCACACGACACCCAAGGGACCATATGGTGTAGCGGATATTCTTGTCACCACATTTTTTACCTACCCTAAAAACTAGAAGCTGAACACTTAACAACTTAACTTGTTGCTTATTTATATTAACTTATTTTACTTAATTTGCCACAACTGACATCACATTGTATTGTGTTGCAGTGCTGTGCCGGCAGATGGTGTTGGTGTCGTTGCGCGCGGCGCCACAGTTATGACATGTGTAGCGATTCACCTTGTACCTTATAATATTTATTGTACCGTGTAACATATACTATATCTATATCATTACTCCTAAATAAAATAATATTCATATGTGATATCTCACATGGAACTTTTATTTCACAAAATCTGTGTCCTACACATTTTGCCATTACAATTTCCGAACTTTATCTGGAGTTAATAACTGCACAAAAGATATTAGCTACAAAAGTAAAACATATGACTGCCACTGTATTTGTCTCACAGAGAATACCAGCCTAAAAATATTATAATACCGCTGTGTTTCGTATAGTGGGTGCAAGAACCAAAGATGCGGTAAAGGTTTGGTTAATCATTACTCGTATTTGTTGTAACCATACTAATACACTTTCGATAGCTAGTAAACTTTGTATTTGTTCCTACGACTGATTTTATTAGACACCGACTAGTACCCACATTAATACATTTTCGATAGCTAGTAAACTCTGTATTTGGCCCTGAGAGTGATTTTATTAGACACCCACTAGTACCCATACTAATACACTTTCCGGAGCTAGTAAACTCTGTATTTGGTCCTACGAGTGATTTTATTAGACACCTACTAGTACCCATACTAATACACCGTCGATTACTAATACACTTTAGATAGCTAGTAAACTCTGTATTAGGTCCTACGAGTGATTTTATTAGACACCCACTAGTACCCATACTAATACACTTTCTGTAGCTAGTAAACTCTGTATTTGGTCCTACGAGTGATTTTATTAGACATCCACTGGTACCTATACTAATACACCTTCGATTACTAGTACACTTTCGATAGCTAGTAAACTCTGTATTAGGTCCTACGAGTGATTTTATTAGACACCAACTAGTACCCATACTAATACACCTTATTACTAATACACTTTCGATAGCTAGTAAACTCTGTATTAGGTCCTACGAGTGATTTTATTAGACACCCACTAGTACCCATACTAATACACTTTCGGTAGCTAGTAAACTCTGTATTTGGTCCTACGAGTGATTTTATTAGACATCTACTAGTACCCATACATACACCGTCGATTACTAATACACTTTAGATAGCTAGTAAACTCTGTATTAGTTCCTACGAGTGATTTTATTAGACACCCACTAGTACCCATACTAATACACTTTCTGTAGCTAGTAAACTCTGTATTTGGTCCTACAAGTGATTTTATTAGACATCCACTGATACCCATACTAATACACCTTCGATTACTAATACACTTTCAATAGCTAGTAAACTCTGTATTAGGTCCTACGAGTGATTTTATTAGACACCAACTAGTACCCATACTAATACACCTTCGATTACTAATACACTTTCGATAGCTAGTAAACTCTGTATTAGGTCCTACGAGTGATTTTATTAGACACCCACTAGTACCCATACTAATACACTTTCGGTAGCTAGTAAACTCTGTATTTGGTCCTACGAGTGATTTTATTAGACACCCACTAGTACCCATACTAATACACTTTCTGTAGCTAGTATACTCTGTATTTGGTCCTACAAGTGATTTTATTAGACACCTGGTACCCATACTAATACACTTTAGATAGCTAGTAAACTCTGTATTAGGTCCTACAAGTGATTTTATTAGACACCCACTAGTACCCATACTAATACACTTTCCGTAGCTAGTAAACCTTGTATTAGGTCCTATGAGCGATTTTATTAGACACCCACTAGTACCCATACTAATACACTTTCCGTAGCTAGTAAACTCTGTATTTGGTCCTACGAGTGATTTTATTAGACACCCACTAGTGCCCATACTAATACACTTTCTGTAGCTAGTAAACTCTGTATTTGGTCCTACAAGTGATTTTATTAGACACCTACTGGTACCCATACTAATACACCATCGATTACTAATACACTTTAGATAGCTAGTAAACTCTGTATTAGGTCCTACAAGTGATTTTATTAGACACCCACTAGTACCCATACTAATACACTTTCCGTAGCTAGTAAACCTTGTATTAGGTCCTATGAGTGATTTTATTAGACACCCACTAGTACCCATACTAATACACTTTCGGTAGCTAGTAAACTCTGTATTTGGTCCTACGAGTGATTTTATTAGACACCCACTTGTACCCATACTAATACACTTTCGATAGCTAGTAAACTCTGTATTTGTTCCTACGAGTGATTTTATTAGACACCCACTAGTACCCATACTAATACACTTTCGATAGCTAGTAAACTCTGTATTTGGTCCTACGAGTGATTTTATTAGACACCCACTAGTACACATACTAATACACTTTCGATAGCTATAGTCAACCAAATCTAAGAAATACATTTTGACAGCTGTCAGACTTATTGCACCAGGCATGCCAACCAAAAAATGGGAACGTACAATATTCGATTCTTAAAAATATCGATATCGATTATTTAGAGTTGGTAATCATTTACTATTTGGTTTTAATAATACCAATAAATTAAATGCGGATAATTTAAAACACTAGATTTATCAGTTTCTACGTATTTGTTGTTAGGTACTGATTATTTTTATAGGCACAGTTATAAAAATGTAAGATTATAACGTATACAGTAATCTATGATTATAACTAAATTAAAAATAAATTTATTCAATCACTATCGGTACAATTAGTTGAGCTGTCATTGTTTGATTTTCAATAATGTAGTCAAAATTTATGTCTCTTTCATAGTCATCCATAATATTTTTTTTGTTTTTTCTACCACTTTTGCCCAATTATCCTTTGTGAAATGGGCACATGCTTCAACGAATATTGAAGAAACAGTTCAAAAAGTTAAAGCCGAGTCACGAAATAAGAAGGCAAACACAATATCACAAAATTACGCACAGTAAGCTCCCGAAATGGTGGGATATTGAAATTACGTAGTGGTTTTTATATCGCGGCTTTGTACACGAGTTTTTTTGCCTACACAAATTTACGTTAACAAATTAAAAAAATAAATAAACTTGTTTTATTCATGATTCATGTAATTAAGAAATTTTGAACATAAAAATAATACATAAAAAATTAATGATTCGATTATTTGAATATTTTTACCGATTATTGGAATATTTTTGCTGATTATTCGCGTAACAATTAATTTTAATCATTCAAACACTACGGTAATGTACATAGCGACATATCATTGACACGACGTCAAGTATAAAAAGTTGATACTGGTTATTTTTTAATATTTTCCTTTTTTAAAAGATTCAAATTTAAATTAGTGATAAAAAATTATACACGTTGTAATGAAATATAGATAGCGTTATAATTCTTCGGATTTACGTAAAAGGTTATTTTAAATCGTGTGATTACGCTTGTGCAAAGTTATTGCTGAATGATTAATGTGAAACGTCAAAAGGTATTACTCAGATTTGGTTGACTATAGTCAACTCTGTATTAGGTCCTACGAGTGATTTTATTAGACACCCACTAGTACCCATACTATTACACTTTCGATAGCGAGTAAACTCTGTATTTAGTCCTACGAGCATTTTTTTAAAGTTTTGACCAGTAAATTAAATTCAGGTCCTCTCGCCCCGTGGGTTGATTATATTTGGTCCTTCGAGCATTTTTGTTTAAAAGTTTTAACTAGTAAATTAAATTCACGGCTCTCTTGCCCCCGTTGACTCTACCTTTTGTCGCGTCAAAGATAGGCGGACCAGCAAATACACTCGCATTTGTTATATTATGAAGGTATATTATAATGGATTATTCTAGTGATTATTATAATTTTAAAATTCCTGCTACTATTCCCCGAAAATTAGTTTTATTCAACGATGACTTTAATTACATTTGATCGACTAAGTTCTGGCTTATAAACTTAATATTCAAAACCAACGTTCCTAATACAATTCACAAATCCGTGAAACATTGCCTTTAAGGTACAAAATAGTACAGCCGACTTAAGTGAAATTCTAACAAAAATAAAATGATAAATATATATTTGTGAAAAATATAAGTTCGAATCTTACCAATATGATTGACACAGAAAGCAATATCCAACTCACACCTGACCGTGTTCCATCGTTATATCTCAGCACCTACAAACCAAAACGATAAAACATGTTGAATCCGTTTAAGATTTAAATGTATAAAAAAAGAAAACAAAACCTGCAGCGTAGTTGCCACTGACCACTAGGTTACGTAGTAGTCAATAGGTATATAAAGCGTAAATTTCATCATTCCGTATTTTATCGACTTATGAGAGACCAATATCCCATTGCTGGTGGATTGCGTTACCAGCGCGTTTACGCCATACGTAAACGAGCTTAAAGGCTTAAGGTGATGTGGGCGCCAAAAATTAAAAAATTAAAAACTACGAATTCACATTTTTATTAATTTATTATGAAAGTTGAAGATTTTTCTTAGTGAATTATATTTATTTCTATCTCATGTAAATGGATACATTTCATCGATCCATCCATCGATTATAGCTTATAAACGTTCATTGCCTCACAACTATTGCAAAACAACCTTGGTTTTGCCATAGTTGCCACGCTTGGCAATTGGGTTTGCCGCTGTAGGTACTTCTGTTTCAGTCTCTCTGTCGCCCACGAGATGATACAGTAGTGTATATTCTTATACCGATATTAGACGGTTTCAAATTATCTCTACTAATGTGAACCTATACGGACTAATAAAGACGAAGATAGATATCAGTAGATGCTCACGGTACTGTTAATCCAATTGGTGTAGGATGAGACACGAGCGCTGACGCCGGGAAAGAAGGGTTGCGCACAGCCGTAGCCCCATGACGTCACGCCTACCACCACCCCGTTGTAGATCAGCGGACCGCCGCTGTCGCCTTGGCATGCGTCCTTCCCTATTACGAAATAAAATTAAAAATGTATTTTTTTTTCACCTTAAAGATTTATTAGCATCGTGCGCGCCGCACGCGCCGTACGCGCGGTATTTTAGAATATGTTGTATGAAATCATATGAAATCTCGCACATTTCTGTTAATACTCGCATAATTTCTCATTAATACGTTTATATAAAAAGGCTATAAGAACAATACTTCATTTTACAATAATTTGACACCAGTGGCGAAGCCTCCATAGAAGCCGAAAAGCTGGGTTTGCCCTATCTAACTGCTAAATCAATAATATCAATTAATAAAATAATTCGTAAACTGTTTCAAACTAGGTATTTCCAATTTCCAGCGCACTTCTCTGTTCAACACAGGTCATGACCTAGTAGCCTCAGCATGCTGCTGTCATAAAAAGGATGAGTTGAGTTGAACGATTAGTCGTCTCTCTCGGACGCGTGAGCTTTTTACCGGGCTTTCGAGAAGACGATCGCTCCCTTTCTAACCTGTGGCAAAATGTTCTATAATGAAATATAATTACGAAATGTCTATATATAGTACGATTCTAGGGCAGGCGGAAAAAAGTACATTGACCTTTGACGATATCATCGGGGTAGGCAATCTTTTTTTGTTTAGGTTCATTTTTTTAACCTTTTATCATTACATACATCATCAGAGTGAAAGATAAGGGTGCCGAGTGCGAAGTTCTTTACAGGCCCTATGTCTATTATTATATAATAAAGAAAGAAGATTATCCTGTACCTAAATGAATTAAAAAGCAAGTTAATATTAATTTACTTTTATTATTTATAAATCATGAGTTATTACAATTTTCATTATTACGTTAATAGTAGGTGAGTACTTTAATAAGTAGGTAGGTAGGTAGTTGTATAAAACATAACCACTTCTTGGCAGTCAGGTAAAAAGATAAACTTTTAATGCTAAGCATTCTTAAGCAGCCAACCTTGAAGCATGCATAAAACTTCTCATAATAGATTGTCAGAGACACTTGACAGACATCTGTATCAATTTCAGAATCATTTTATGATTATGAACCTAAAATATCGGCAGTTTTCTTTTTCATATCCGTTTTGGATGGATATACGTCACTAGACCACGTTTCTTTTACATATTTATAGATGTTTACAATCATTATTTTTTCGGTTTCCGAAATATGCAACACTTTCCGCTTCTTTCGTGGTGACGTAACGTCTTTATGAGATTTTCATTTCGATGGACTAGATTTCATACTAGTGATAATATACAAAACGTCACAAAGCAATAACAAAAACTTTAATACAAAACGTAGAATACAACTAACTAAACAAACTTAATAAAAATTAAAACAACTACTATAACCGAAAATTTTAAATCTCAAACTATCTACACGTAAGCGCATCCCAAATTAGAATGAGGAATGAGTTCTGCTCTATCCGCTTTCTTAAATACGCACGGCGTGAGACCTATGCAAATCGCGTCGAAACAGGTTTATTATCTCTGAATGACCGCTTCCTTCATCCTACCCCGTACCATGAGACACGCTTAGCGCATGATACGTAATCTATAAACAAATGTATGGAAGTATTAACTGTCGTTTTGTTTCGATGCTAACATAATACTTGAGGTCAATGTACTTTTTTCCGCCTGCCCTAGAAACGTACTATAGCAATTAATAATCTGGTTTTTTGGTAGAACACAATTTGCCGTATTGCTTAATGTGATGGAATATTTAATACAATGGTAAATAAAGTAGGCAGTATTTAGGCATTTTTCACTACAGAATTTGGCAGGGTTTGACAGGTTTTTAACTAATGTATGACAGAATGTGTAAAAGGACCAAAAAGCCTGACTTTGGTGTGAAGTTGTCGAGTGTGGGGGCGCGCGGGCGATATGTTTGCAAGTTCACTTCACATTTCAATGTTTACTCTGTTTGCTTACTTAAGTGAATGAATATTGCGAGTTGAAAATTTATGCTTTTTAAAGATTTTTAGTGAAAATGGAGGATAATAGTGTTCCTTGTGATGAATTGAAGTGTGTTAAAGTGGTAATCGGCAAGGAAAAGGTAAAATCTTTAAACTTTGTTGAGAAAATACAGAAGGTCAAGAGCGTCTTTCAGACTTATCAATTATTGCAATTGAAAAACAGTTATTGGTACAATTAAAAAATTCACCAACATTTTACGCAGACTTAATTAAATCTTTCCTTAAGAAAGAGAGACGATTCGACTTAGAATATAAATAATTTGTTTTTTAATTTTGTACATAGTTTGTACTTTGTTCATGCTTTTCTTTTGTTCATGTATTGTATAATTTTATTGTATGTAAATATCTTTTTTAAGTTTCTAGTGTAGTGTGTCGAAGTGTCTAGGTAAATAGTATGGATTTGAAAAAAGGCATACAAACAAGGCCATGCGGGCTATGCTTTAATACGTAGCGATCGTTCTCTTGTTCTCTAACCTCCATGCTCAGTGTTGCCTAATGTTGCCAACTTAGTCGATTTTCCATTAAAACTATTAGTTTCGAGCCTTCTAGTGGAGAAATATTGTTTACAGTGGTTAGTGTTTTTTCTAGTGGTTCAGTAGAATTATTTTTCAATTAGTGGGAAGATGATCACTCCTCTACTAACCCACCTACACGTTACGATATATATTTTTACTTTATTTCGGGAGTATTACATTTAACTGCGTAGGCAACAATGAGTCGCCAGACAAGACATGCGATCCATCTATCAAATACAAATATCTGAAAAATCGTTCGTATTCATCTAATAAGTTTTTATATAACGTATAATATTCTCCATACCCATTGCCTTTTTCAATTAATATTGTGAATCCAGAATCTTCTTTTTCTTCGAATTTTATTTTCTTCTTCCTATGCCAAGCAATGTCACTGTACTATATCACACCAGCAGTGGTTAGAAAAAACTGCAAAAGTTATTGGCAATACTAAAGAATTGCGTACGGCGCGTACGTGCCAACGTGCGAGGCCATCATCAGTAAATGCGGTGTGTACGGCGCGTGCGGCGCATACAGTGCTGACAAATGTGCGTTCACCTTAAGAAATTAAAGTTTCGTTTTTCAAATGTCAAAGGTCAACAATACAATACAACAGTAAAGTGTTGAGTTTTACTTTTATGTTTGTGAGTCTATGACGCGTCAGGGCTCTGATAGACCTGGCCCGCCGGGTCTTGTAGGCCTAATTGTACTCAAGGAGATTATTTTTTATCTTCTCAGATAGGAATAATTAACCTCCAATATCGAGTAGTCCAGCGCAGATCATGTTCTCGGTGACGGGGTAGGGGTCGCCGGTCGCTGCCTGAAGGTACTGGTAGCGTTGTTGACAAACATTTCTGTTAACTTTGTGAACTTCTACCTCGTTGAGGACATCGGAAGCTTGGGGTATTGCAACCTGCGGTTGGAATACGTGTTATAGCTTAAATTTTTAATTAATATTTTTTTAAGGAATTTTAATTATAGGGTTCTGTAGTCTTAAAACTAAATAATTGCATTGTCTCTGTTCCTTAGACTGAAAACGCCGTGCCATAGATACCAGGAGTGTAAATATTCATAGTTACAGATTCGTGGGGTAGAATAAAATTAAGTTGAAAATGGAGTAGGAAGGTATATTACGTAGATCTTACGTTTGTTCTGCCCCAACCGACGTGCACGACGGTTGCGTTGTCTGGTACCACAGCGCCCTGGAGAGGGATGAACGCGGTATTGACACTGGCCCCCAGATCCACGGCAACTGTCATCACCAGTACCGCCACGTCGTTGTCGCGCGGTGGAGAGTTGTAGGACTCATGAATGATTATTGCAGATATAGTATGGATTTTACCACCTAATGGAAATATTTCAATCATTGAAATTACACACGTGTTACATCTTAAAATATTCATTTATTTAAACTTAAAATTATAGTATAGTTTGAACATTAAAATATATACTGGTTATAATATAAATAATATATCTATACAGGTGGGCCTTAACTGTACGAGTGGTTTGAATGTGCAATAAAAAATAACTATAAATCTTATTGTCTTTTTATTTATACATTTAAATAGTACAGGAAATTGAAATTTCAGTGAAATCTAATTTTTAAAGATAATGTTATTTAAGTGACCGCCACCAGCTTTTTGACATTCTTGTAGTCGCACTAGCAGATTTTGAAAAACACGTTGACAAATTGCTCGTGGAATAGCGTTAATTTCTTGCACAATGTTTTGCTTTAACTCTTCAACTGTTGTTGGGTTATTTTCAGACTCTTGCTTTTAGGTAACCCCACAAAAAATAATCATTAGGAGAAAGATCTGGACTCCTTGGAGGCCACTCAATGTCTCCTCTTCGCGATATGAGTTTTCTTGGAAATATTTTCTTCAGCATGTCTATTGAGACTGTAGAAGTGTGGCAAGTGGCTCCATACTGTTGATACCACGTCCTAGAATTGTACCCTTGAAATTCTTGAAGAGCTGGAACCAGAAACTCTTGCAACATCTGACAATAATTCTCAGATCTCACTGTCACAGCAACTCCTCTTTGGTTTTCAAAGAAGTATGGCCCAATTATTCCACTAGCCGATATTCCAGCCCATACAATGACCTTAGGGCTATGCAGAGGTCTTTGATGCATCTCGCGGGGATTAGATTCGGACCAAAAGCGGCAATTTTGCTTATTAACATGTCCGTTGACATGAAAGTTTGCCTCATCACTGAAGATTATGTTGGAAAAATTGTTAAAACGTTCCATCATAACATTAGCAAAGTTAAGTCGAAGATTGGCATCATTAGGATTCAACTCTTGTGTTAACTGAATTTTGTACGCTTTTAAATGCCAATCACGGTGCAAAATCCTGCGCAAAGTAGTCCTCTTGATGTTCAAGATTTCGCTTCTTTTGCGACTCGATTGTCGAGGATTTTCTCTAATCGATTCATGAACACATTGAATAATCTCCGGCGTCCGTATTGACTTCGGGCGGCCCGCATTATTTATTTTTACTGTACATCCGGTTTCTTCGAACATCTTAACCCATTTCCGAATAGAATTTGCGCATGGTGCTTCTCTGATGTCATGTAAGCCGAAGTGAACGCGGTACATTCGCCTAGCAACAGTCACAGAATTGTTGACATAATACGTGCGAACACAAAACGCACGCTGTGCTCCCGATAACGCGTCCATGGCGACTAAAAATTCCACAAAATGGCGCGTCTAACGACACCCCCCCGCGCCCCCTACCTTTAACGGTTCTTGAATTATAGACAAAATAAAACGCTCATACTGTCATCCTGTATAATAACACATAGATCAAAGACATGCTTTGCGCATACAAAATACAAATCTCCACTACACAGCGTTCTACTTGGCTGTGATATCAACTATATTATACCTACTCTCTTGTTTTATGATCTGTGACGGTGCCCTGTATTGAATGCCTGTCTCTAAGATTCATTTATTAGCCCAACTTAGCAGATCGTTACATCTTTCGGACATAGTAACTAGTTACGGAATAATCTGCCGATGTCACCTCAAATCCGTCCTCCATGTCACTTTAGTATTTTGCCATGATACAGGGTTGAAGGATTTGGTTGGTAAAGTAAAGTAAAGTTACTGCCTAAATGCCCTATAGGCTTATGAGAGGGTTTTAGAGCAAGATAGTATTCGCCGCGCTGTCGCAGTGTGCGTTTGCGGACTTGTCGTTGAAATATTATTGCGGGATTCAAAGCTGCCACTCATAGTGACTCATCTGGTCAACATCAACATGGTTAAAGAAACCGTACCTTACGGAGACAAAGCTTCATACAACTTCCGCTCTACGATAGTTGTTACACTACTACAAGCTGAGCGTGAGCACTGGCGGTTCGTTGTGTACAGAGAGAAACTGCTTTAAACCGGCTCGGCCAGTGCTCAAACTAAGGCTGATGTAAAGAATAATAAATAGGGATGGGCCGAATATGGATTTCACCGAATACGAATATTCGGCCGAACGTTCGGTAAAATTTTTACCGAACCGAATATTCGGCCGAACATTATTCGGCAGGATTACCGAGGTACCTAACCAATTTATGTCGAAACTTGTTACCGTAAAGCGCGCGGATTACCGCCAGAGCCTTCCCCTTGCTCCCCCGCCACACCTGACATGTTCTTGCATCATCTAGTACTGAGCAAATTGCCGGCACATGCTTATGTTTTGACTATTTTTGTGAGAAAAAAAGTATTCTAAGTGAAAATTGATAAGTATGTGATGAAAATAAGTGGCAGGAGGTGGCCTATTTGGATCAATTTTAGAGAAACTGACGACTGTAACGTAATGTTTCTTTGTTTGATTCCAAACAAAATTTTATCAACTTTTCTATTTGCTATAATTGGAAATAAATCTACAGTGCCTCAAAAACGTATCGTTATACAAGTAGATTAAACCCATAAATGAATATACTTTCAACAGTAAAATGATGAAAGACATGGCATTACTCAATTCGTACATTTCCATACAGTGGATACTTTGACTACCACTTTAACGAATTTTCGGTGGTTTAGCCGAATATTCGGTAAACCTGCCGAATATGCCGAATACCGAATATAAAACGAATATTCGGCCCATCTCTAATAATAAATGTCAAAATTTGTTTATTAAATAATTGTTAGTGACAAATCTAATATACAAAATTAATGTTTGTTTTATGCTTTAATGTGCTGCCTCGCGTAAAGTAAGAACAAACAAACGGCAACGGTATGTATGGCATGGCAATGGCAAACGGTATGGCAATACCGTTCCTCAGATTGCGGTTAACGATATTTTCTTTCACCGTAGAGCACGTGGTAAATCAGCACATAAAATTGCAGTTAACAATTTTATTGGTGCCGGCGGGGATCGGGGATCGAACCCGGGTTGCTCGCCTACTGTGAAATTTATAGCGACTACTAAGGGCCCTGGTCTACCACGTCTCTGTAAATAACGTTATTTACTTATTGTAGTTGTGAATCGTGGTAGTGGTTTAAGTTAGAGAATCATTCGCACAATTTCGTCCCTCGGGTGTCGTGAGAGACTACGGACGAAGCCAGAAGATCTCATGGCCACCAATAGATGGCGGGGGCCAGTATCTTTTTGATGCCAAATGTCAATCAAGTACTGTTACCATAAATCTGTCCACCGTAGTGATTATGACAAATCCTTCCTAAGAGTTGAGAGACCTTGGTCCAACAGTGGGCTGTTTAGACCGATGAAGGAAATGACAAACAATGTCACTATCATTGGTTAGGTTCTATGTAGAGAACATCTAGCTAAAACAATTACAATTTTTCATGTTGTATTAATAAGGCCACTAGTATCGTGCGTAAAAGGCACATTATTCTGAAATAAAATTATATACTTGCTAATAAAAAGCTTACTTAACTTACCCGTGTTTAAATAAGTGGAGCCGACTCGTATGCTATAATAGGTTGGGCTTATGACGATGCCATTCCTGTTTCAATAATTAATATTAAAAATTCTTATTATTTTGTAAACTTGATTTATGTGTACTATAAATAACAAATATTAAAACTATTGTACTTAGATGTACTTACTCGTTGACAAAACAATGCGCTGCAGAAAGCACATGCCGACGTGTTATGAGGGACCCGGCGCATGTCAATTGGGTGCCATACAGAATCTACAAATATTAAAATAAGTACTTTTTACACTTTAGTTCGTATAAAAACTCGGTTATAATAACCTGCAAATTTTGGATAGTATATATAATAACCTGTATATATTTGTAGTTTACTTTTTAGGTGACGAACAGATAAACTGATTAAAGCTACGGAGAATCGTAGGAAAGACAAAATAAATCTAAGTAACATTTCAATGTTACAGCAGTAAGAACCAGTCGTGCTGTTCCAGTGCGATTTGGCGAACTGCCAATGCCTTCAAATATTTTCTTTATGACTTCTTCACCACCCAGCTCTTAGAACAGCTCGTGGTGTTCAACAAGCTTGCGGCTTCTACATGGCTGCAGTTTAATGAAGCTGTTAAAGCCAACTGGATAACACCACTAACATCATTCTAAAAATTACATTTTTTTGAATTTTCAAAGAAATATTGTGCAGGAATATTTATTATCTAATATCCTTCCCTTAACGTTACCTTTTTCTTCAGACCGCAAAAGTGTATATGTATATGTTCATGGACCATGGCAAATGTATTAGTGATGATGATGATGAGATGTAGATTACAGTATCAGACGTTTTACACATTTGAGGCTGTTAGCCGTCGACACTCTGGATACTTTACGCCTAACGTAAACGAGATGGTATTCCGTCATCTATCGGAATCAGCAATTTTCCTTTATTAGATTAGATTTTCTTAATTTACTGCTAGATTTTAAGCACAAGATAGATTTCCCATTGCACGTTAGTCAGGCAGTTTGATGAACGTAGAACCTTCGCACTGGAAGAGTTTAATTACTCTACATAATCAGTCTGAGAGAATTGGGTTCAATTCATTGGGACGGACATACCTTTAATTGTCGAATATGATGTATAATATTTTAAAGAAATTTATTTTAATGATTTCTCATATTTATGAGAACACTAAATTTATTTTACCTGTACAGTATAGGGGTACCTTTCTATAGTGGTAGGGCTACCCCCAATGATGCGAGTGTCGGCTACATTTTTGGCCGGATCGGCTGTACTAATGTAGAATTCCTCCGCAACGGCTGTAGATAAACGTTTAAAAAATAGTAAGTGGTTTGTTTTTGAAGTGGTTCATGATAGAAGCCGAAGCGCGTATTCGCGTTTACCTGCAACGTTTATTTAGCAATCCATACTCTAAGCGATTAGAATATTGTTGCATTATAATTATTTAGAAAGAGCCAAATTGCACGCTATTTGGAAATAAATATGTATTAAAATCCATCTGTCAACACAGCGAATCGGGTTTGTAGTAGTGATTAACTGATAATACGACGTATTTGCTTGTATGTGTGCTCCCGGCGACGCCGAACCTCGGTACAAAATAAGGTTGACAGCCATTCTATTGTGTATTATAGTATTCTATGGTTTCTACTCATCATGTTACAAGAAGCTCGCCTGATTTTTTCTATTATCGGCCAGTGCTTGGTGGCTCACCTTATGGTAAGTGATGATGCAGTCGAAGAAGGCACAGCGCAACAAGCCTTCGGGAGAGAAAATGTCTACAGTTGAGATTTATACTATTATTTATTTGAGCTTTATCTGTACATAAACGCGTATAAAAAGGCGCCACAGCCCTCTCAGTCCATTTTCGATAATTTAAAATGAAATTGAATAGGTAAAATTTGTATCTGGAAATAAGAAATATATAAATAGTCATATTTATATATATTACTTATATCCAAATTCAACTAAACCGACATTTAATCTTTATTTTCAAACAGTCATCGGGAAAACCTACTGAAAATAAATTATATGTATCATATAGATTAACTTATCGTAATAAACAATCTATATATATTTATAGATGGTAATTTTTTAGACGTTTATGTCTTTTGTTCACCATTTATCTACAAATAGCAATATGTAACAACAACAGATAGCCTGATAAAGTAACTGATGACTGTTTCTTGCTTGTCTTTGTTAACGCTATTCTAGGAGTGTGTTGTGTTACTCATATACAAGGAATGTTTTTTTTAATAGAATAAGAGTGACAAACAAGCACACAGTTCACCTGATGGTAAGTGGATGCTGTGGCTCTACCACTAAGACTTACACGATACAAGATAGCCGCCACGCTGCAGCTACATTATGGTTGTAGCACTAATGGGTCGGCTCGACCGGGGAAGGACCACGCTTTCACAGAGTACCGGCGTAAAATAGCAGCTTAATGCTGCTGTGTATCGTATGGTGAGTCTAGAAAACCTGCGACCGTTTTTACACGAAACGAGGCATTCCACCTCTGTCCTCAGTGGTGACAAGGCATCTGCATTTTGTTTCTTAATTGAGGATAAAATGTAGATGCCTATGGGCCAGAGCATTCACTCATTATTAGGTGGACTGTGTGCTCGTTTGCCACCTTGATTCTATTAAAAATAATCACAATATTTTTCAAGGAAGTTTAGAAGACTTTCAGTTGTCGTTTTGTATTTTTGTTAACTTTCATATATAATGTTCTTCTTCATCATCTAAGTTTACTTTTCGTCAAAGTTTGCTTCCTTACATGGCCTCCTTCCGTTGTGGAACGAATCTGTCTTAATCATCAGGTGGTTTGACAATTTTAGTTCCAGGCGTCTCGCATCTTTGATGCTGCTGTATCTCTCTCCCACCCACAATCACGTTTACTGTCACTGCTACCACGGGGTTCATAAACACTAGCGCACTGTGACCAGTTCAGCTAAGTTCTCTTATCACTAAACCTAACATCCTTCATTAGCTCGTTAATGTCCACTGTTGGACATAGCAGGCCTATTTGATGATCGCTGGAACTTTGGCCTTTGACGCTGTTGTCGTCGTCAGTTTGACCATAGCGAAAACGCGATGGTTCTACCAGAATTTATGGAAACCATTACACCATTCTGCCATATCTGATTGTCACCTCATACGACATCCACGGGATCAAATTGGGTAACAGAATCTCTAAACCTACTCGTATGTTATAACTGGCTAACTTAAGATCAACGGTTCTTTCAAATACTGATATTATAAATATGGCCCTACTTGTGGAAGCTTAATGTGAGAGTGTGAGACCCATCTCACACATGATGCTGGTCTAGATAAAATGTAGAACGTTCTGGAAATGTTGTACATTTAGACCGGAAATTTTAAGAGACATATTTATTTCGCTTTCCCAAGTTTGTTTAAAATATTAAAATTCGTTACAATTATTTATGTAAAAATAAGGCGTACGTACAAATAAACTTTTATAGATCTAAAATTTGATTGCAACCCAAATTTTTTCTAGGTCAATGTATAATAGAAAGATACCCTTGTAATCCATTTTAAATTTATTTCGACGCTAGTATAGGACACGTATAGAACCAGTTCAACAGCACAACACTATGCACTAGTTTTTTTTAACGTTATAAAAAAGAATAGACGTGAAAACTACTCACAAGCGACGCTACAAATGTAAAATATCGGAAACCACATGTCTGCCGGCCGCATTAAGACGCTATGAACCAAATAACACCGATAATATTATTATCGATAGATAGCACTATCGCTATCAGCTTTTTAAAGCTTTTCAATGTAATCTTATAATATAAGCGAGTGAAGTGGGATAACAGAGTATTGATGCTCTCACAGCTCTTTTATGTCAAGCGACACTAAGATTCTCTTTTAAAACTGAGTATTTTTCATGTTTTCGTCTGTCGAGTGGTTGTTTTGGGTGGTAATGTGTCCACTGGAGCTTAAGAAGACAAATATTAATCAATAGAAAACAAGTACATAGAAAAGTTTTGCATATTAGCCTATTAATTAATATTGCTAACGAAAAGGACATTTGTTCAAAGTGAGTGGCGTAACGAGCGCTGTATCAAAATTTGTTGGGGGTAAATATTCTTCACAAAAGGAACAAAATGCTCGCAATGAATATTAAAATAATTATATTACTTACAATTAATACTCTTAGGAACTAAGCTAGCCAAAAAATTCAAATCAAATATACAGTTTTCTTGCCTTTGTTCGGCGAACTTATTTATTAAATAATTCACAGCTGAAGACGATTTTAGTTTTTCTAAATTTTCTGCCTCTATAGACAATAGCGATATTTTGTTAGCCTTTGCTTTCATATAGAAGTCTTTACAATTTTTGCTTACACACGTTCGGGGCCCTTATAACCCGGCGTCCCCGTATCATTTATTGATAAGACTGATAAGGCGGCACAGAATAAATAATAGTACTACGTAACGGCGCGGCGGTAGCTACGCCCCTGTTAAAAATATTAACGAAAACGAGAATTGAATTGAGAAAGATGGAATTTTTAATAAGCTTACGTTATTAAAAAAACAAATGTTTTAAATACTAGTAAAATATTAATTTTTAAAAAAACGTTACTTCCAAAGAACATCCAGACATACACATACTTGTTCAGTGTAGGATTCGAACACGTTACGCACACAAACTCAATGCCACCGAGCCGCCTAATAATTGGTAGTAATGTCATTTTTGCTAAGTGTCTATACCGCTTAAAAGTAAAAACTGTTTGCAATTCTTGCAAGTCGAAAATCAAGCAAGACTTGAAGCAAATGTTGTGCTTATCGTTGATACAAAGGACGTGCCCCAAATTAGTTCCTTTAGTTTATAGAGTGGATCAACCAAAAAACACGCTGCTCAAATACGCTAGTACCGTAGCTGCTTGCACGATCTTTACGAGTTAGCCGTGGCTAAATTCCCCATGGAGACATTGCGTTAATCTATAGGTTCGTGATATGAGAGATTAAAATTCTGTGCCAAAGGGAAAGGAGGCCGTTTACAATAAAACTGTTTCCCCTTCGGTTTCGGTAAATATGTACATCCATTACAGCCAATAAGAGTCCACTGCTGAACATGGGTCTGCCCCATGGATTGTCTCATACAGTATATTTTTTCAGTTGCCACGTTTGCCAGGTGGGTTGGCAACCGCAGTTTTTACAACTTTGAGTTAATAGCAGAAACATGCTGCTGCCTATTTCCTGTTTCAGTTTCCCTCTGTCGCCTCTTACGACACCCCACGGAACAATATGGGGTAGTGGATATTATTAAACCGCATCTATACGCTAAATTCATAATAGTACACATACATTTTATTATTATTACACTATGTACAGTGTAAAGTGTATACGACGGAGAGAGTTTTGGCGGGAACTTGGCCGTCGACGGATTGTCGCTTGAATAATGGTTTGAAGTGGATTTTGATTCGTAAAAGTGATGCGATTTTGTGAATTAAGTGTCCTCGCGTGTGAACTATTAGAGAAAACGACGAAACAAGTGCTTTGATGTCGATATAAACCTCAAGTTATTTTGATCGCTTGGGCGCCTTATGAACTTGAGTGGCTGTCGTCATCAACTGTCCGCTGGGTTGAGCTGTCGTCAAAATCTCCCATGGGCTTCACAATGTGACGCATCAGCATATTGTGAAGAAAAAGAACATAAAATGAAGATTCCCAAAGAAAGGATAGGCTCAGAAGGTCTAGAAACCAGAGCCGTAAAGCCAGTTAATAAAGAAAAAAATATATGTCGGACACTCAAGGGACTGTGCATATTTTGACGTTATAGACAGTTGACGTTAAATGCAACGAGAAACAATACGTATTAGAAAAAGTTTATTTCAGACCAATGTTAGTAATTACATAAAAAGCAATTGTTGAAGTGAAAACTTCTTTAGCGGCGTTGTAAACTTTTTTGTAATGGGTAAAAATTTAACCACATCAGGAACTTAAAATTCTAGACGAAAACTTCTTTACGCGTTGTACACTTTGTGTAATGGGTAAAAAATGTTAAACTCGCGTCAAGACACGTGATCTGATCGAAAATTCGTAAGACGGATGGAGAGTAGACAGCCGGCGCGGCGTAGGAGAATATTTTTTAATGCAATATAAATTGTCATGTTTGTGTAATAGCGCAATAAATAAATATTGTATTCTACCACATAAATGATAGTAATTTTATACTGATAATTAAAGTAATTTGTGCAAAATTATTCCCTAACCATTCCAAAATATCAAAAACGCACAACGGTAATATTCAAGTTCTCACATCTGCCGGCACCCAGAGTGCAACCCGTGATTTTATTCGAACGCTATTCTCTGTGAGCCGTGAGCAACTAAGAATATGATAACGTAATTAGAACCTGTTTCGGTCGACGCCTCCGCAATGAGCAATTTCAATAATTTGGCTTAAGCAGATAACACTTACTCCGTCCCTGGGACATTGATATGCTCATAGGGGCATCTATTTTCCCTCACCTCTTGTTATCCTCCTCCTCTTGATATCGCACGTTACGCATTGAAAATTGTTTTAGGTTATGTTATTGTTAGTGCCGCTCCTACTGTTGATAATATTTCGGCAGTTTCTTATTGTTGCATCGCTACTGAACCTCTTGAATTAGTTCGCGAATTGAGGAAGTGAACGTTTCGCTTATACTTATCCCGGATGATAGATTATGCGAGGAAATTAATACGACCGCACGACCGTTCGCGGCAGAAAAACGTTTTTATTGTTTGGAGCGCAAAATGCCCGCTTTGCCCAAATTAAAGGAAGCTTATGACAATGTTATTAACGTGTACATAAAAAGGGGTTATATATCGCTTGCGCCTCCTAAGATGTCATATTTTATACCGCATCATGATGTCATTAGGGAAGACAAACTTACATTTAACCTACGTGTGGTACTTGATGCTAGCGTTGAAACTAGCACCCGCCTCTCTCTTACGACATTCTTTATAGTGGACAAAATTTACGTAATCGATTTCGTAAATCGTTGGATGAATGCTCAGTTCCTGATATTTGGAAACGTGCATATATCACCCCTGTGCACAAGAAGGGTCTTAGGACTGATGTCACTAATTATAGGCCAATTTCTAAGTTGTGCATTATTTCCAGTCTTTGAAAAGTTGGTTTATGAGCAGGTGTATCCGTTACTCAAACAAAGCATAAGCCAGTCTCAACATGGTTTCTTCAAGGATAGATCCACCGTTTCCAACTTGGTGCTTCTTAATTCATTCTTGACTAAAGCCGTGGATGATGGTCATTAAGTTGACGTTGTTTATACAGATTATAGTAAGGCTTTCGACCGGATTGAACATAATTTGCTTTTAAAAAAACTTCAGTATGTTGATATCAGTGGAAACCTACCGGTGGTTCTCCTCTTATATCGACAATCGCTCGCAAGCTGTAGTTGTTAACAATTATATATCAGGTTGGGTGTCAATACCAAGTGGCGTACCACAGGGGTCCTTGCTGGGACCGTTGCTATTTCTGATATTTGTTAACGATATTGAAACCTGTTTTAAATCATCACACCTACTGTGTTTTGCTGATGATATGAAAATATTTTCCACAATCTCATTGCAGGCTGACGCTGAATTAATGCAGGAAGATCTACTAAGATTGGAGGAATACTGTACTATTAATAAGCTTGAACTAAATCCATCAAAATGTACCCTCATTACATATTCACGCAAGCGAAACTTAATTCATTTCGGCTATCACCTTAAAGATCAGAAGCTACAAAAACAATCAGTTGTACGTGATCTAGGGATTTTCTACGACTCTAAGTTATTATTCAACAACCATGATGACAATATCATAGCTAGGGCATCTAAGGCGTTAGGTTTTGTCATGCGTACTGCTAAGGAGTTTAATAACATTAAAACAATTAAAATATTGTACCGCACTTACGTCCGCAGTACGCTTGAATACGCTTCGCAAGTCTGGAATCCAATGTATGATATGATACATACATTTCACGGATTGAAAGTATTCAACGTAAATTCATACGATATCTTTGCTATCGTACCCATAGAAAATACCGTTCAGAAGACTATATATCCTTATGCAAACAGCATCATCTGTTACCTCTGATAAAGCGTCGGGAGATTGCTGAAATTGTATTTTTATTGAAAATTTGTTCTGGTAATGTTGACTGCTTAGATTTGCTGTCACAAATATCACTGAGAACGTCTACAGTGAACCTTAGAACGAATGTATTATTCTACGTACCAGCTTCATCAATTAATTATGGAAGAAATACTTTTTTATATCGGTCTAGTAATATTTTTAATAATCTATGCAAAAAGCATGATTTTGATTTGTTTAATACTAGCTATGTATCGGCAAGGCGGGCATTAAGTCGAGAGTTGCAATCAGACAAGGTTTGTAGTCGGACATTTCAACGCCTAAAACCATTTTTAGAGAATGGGATTATTAGAGTGGGTAGTCGTTTATCTAATTCGCATTTAAGTTTCGCTCAACGACACCCTATTGTTTTACCGCGTAAGGATCACATATTGAATTTATTAGTCGATTATCACCACAAATTGAATTGTCACGCTGGCTAGTATAAAGTTACGCTTGCTCGTGGACGTGGTGTAAGATCCATGAAGGCGTATGTTTGTATTTTCGTATGTTTGACTACTCGCGCTGTACACATAGAGCTCGCCGGTGGTCTAAGCACAGCTAGCTTC